GAGCATCACTTGTGAAGCAGGCAGGGCAGGGCTCATTAACTCATTCTGCAGGAAGGACACTGGGGCTTAGGAAGGATAGGTGACTCACCCCAGATGCCAAGCCATCAGGTGGCTAAGGTGGGCCTCCCAGCCACACTTCTGGTGCTTCCCCAGTAAGGTCGCCTGTCAGGCGTCCCTGGAGGCAGGAAGTACACTAATGCAGAGTGCCATCCGCCTCTCAGCGCACTGCCACCTCTATGGCACCTACTACTTCTCCCTTGGGACCAGAGAAGCCAGGCCCAGGCTTGCCTTTGCAAGTCAGGGGTATCTAGCTAGAATTCATAGTTTCATTTCCATTATGTTTACTTTTAGCATCGCCTCATGTTTATGACAAATGATACCAATTTTTATTGCTGATAATGGCATAAAGGTTCCTTTTAAACTTCTGTAGTTAAGAAAAGAGGTGTGCTGCGCTAACTGGTTTGGCTCAGCGGATAGAGCATCAGCCCGGCTTCGATTCCTGCCAAGGGCACGTACCTTGGTTGCAGGTTCCCCAGCCCTGGTCAGGGTCTGTGCAGGAGGCAACCAATGTGTCTCTTTCACATCAATGTTTCTCTCTGTCTTTCCTTCTCCCTCCCACTCTTTCTAAAAATCAATGGAAAAATATCCTCGGGTGAGGATTAACAAAAGAAAAGAGGTATGTTGATTGAAAATACTAAATAAAAAGCAGTCCGGGTGGTTCTTGGGTGTGGCAGGACTCTTGAAGGTGTTGGGCAGACACCACCCTACAGAAGGCCTCACGGAATCTTGGACCCTGGCCAAATGGAAACACGTTGTGGACAAAGAATCTTCACAGGCCCCACGGCTGGTGAGCATCAATAGCTGACATATGAGCCAGAGTCCACATTTGAAAAGCTGACTTCCATCACAGACATTAGCCAGGCAGCTTCTCCTTTCCAGTCCCCTTCTGGCCATACACTTGCCAATTAGACAAGGCGGAGGCCCTCCTGCTGCACAGCTCGTCCCAGACACCACAGTGGAGACACTGGGAAAATCACACTTGGATGACCTCTTTGTGACACCATCACTTTGATTGGTTGTTTGATACATGGACAAAGAGTAATGAGTAGCTCTAGCAGGTTTGGCTCAGTGGATGGAGTGTTGGCCTGCAGATTAAAAAGTCCCGAGTTCGATTCCGGTCAAGGGCACATGCCTGGGTTGCGGGCTCGATCCCCAGTAGGGGATATGCAGGAGACAGCCAATCAATGATTTTCTTTCATCATGGATGTTTCTATCTCTCCCTCTTCCTCTCTGAAATCAATTTAAAAAATTTTAAAAGGCAACGAGTAATGGGTTTCCAACAGGCAAGGTCTTTGGAGGAGGAGAAGAGCTGCTTTCAGAAGGCCCCAACGTTGAGGAGGCCCCTCCTGGTGGTTTCTAGCTGGGAACAGGTGGAGACAAGGAGAGGAACCAGCACGGATCCGGCCTCCCGTGTGCTGGGTAGGGTAGGCATCCCACCCACCCGATTTCATGTGATCCTCACCACAAACAGCTCAAAGAGGTAGGCACTGTAGTCTTCTTTCAGAAGAGGAAATAGGCTTAAGGGAAATTAGAAAATTTGCCTGAGGCCACAGCTAAGAAGGGAGAGCCAGAATTACCCGGTAGGGCAGAACTACAAAAAAGAATCCCCTTTCAGAATGTCCAGAGATCGTTCCACCAGCACCCTTAAGACACACAGGCCATTTACTTACTGAAGCCCTATCCTCAAGCTGGGATATTGGTGCTTAAAATGGATTAAGTGCCCAACTATCATTCTAATGAAAAGCGAGTCAGCCATTCACTCCCTCTGTCCTCCTCGGGAGTGGCCTGGAATGAGGTTACAGTTACAGAAAGAAAGAAAAACAGCCAATGGCTAATGAATTGTCTCATATTCTAATGATGTTAGCCATTGCTTGGATTCTCTCAGCTGTAGCCTGGGATGGTTTTCAGCTGCAGTTTGGGTTTTTAAAATCTTCAAATGATATTTTTTCCATTGGTTTTCAGAGAGAAAGGGAGAGATGGAGGGGAAGAGAGACATGGATTAGTTGCTTTTGCACGCACCCTGATGGTGGAGGGAGTGCAGGGAGCAAACCTGAAACTCAGGTACATGTCCTTGACCAGACCCTTCAGTGTGTGGGCTGACACTCTGACCACTGAGCAACACTGGCCAGGGCTCAGCTAGGGCTTCTGATGCCTTGGAGGAAAGAGATGGACCAAAGATGCTGAGAGGAATTAAGAGTGAGGTCATACCAAGGAGGTTCAAATCCTGGCTCTGCTGTATGGCCTTGCACAATTTCCTTAGCTTTTCTGAGCCCCATCTGAAATTCAGGAATGATGGACCTCCTAAGGCTATTTTGAGGAATAAGTTAAGACACGAGTCAAAGCAGATATTACAAGGTGAGTGTAAAGCGCTTGATCAAGGTCAGCTGTTCTCATTCTGGGTTTTGCCCTAAGACCAGACTTGTGAGAGGAGCAGGGGATTGGTCTTTAAGAGCTACAGTGGTGGACCAGATAAGAGGTCCCAGGACATCTTCCAGCCATGGATACAGAGGCCTGGGACGATGTCTCTGTGCTTGACTTGCTGTGTGGCTTAGGGCAGGTTACCACCCTCTCTGGGCCCCTTCATTCTCTGTGGACTGAGTGGAACTAACTTGGATCAGTATCTCCCAAACCTCACATGACACCTTCAACACTTCGTCCCGTTGCCTGAACTATTATTTATGTAATTGTTTTTCTTTAAACTGGCTCCCTACATTTTTAAAGTGAAATTAATGTGCTGGGTAAAGAGGAACTTGATATTACTATCAGAAATGAAAAATTGGCATCACTTGCCATAAATAGAAAGTGACCCTATAGATAAACACCATGGAAACGGAAGAGCTAGTGAGTTGCTGCCCAGCCAGCTCCTGCGAGGCCCTATATTAGCACAGGAGAGAGGTGCTCCAGCCTGCCTGACAGGCTCTGGGACTTGACAGCTTGTTGTGGTCACAAGGACCGGGAAAGGAGTGAGTCTGTTTCATGGGGTTCTGTGTTCTCTTAACACCTTATCCCAAGTCTGAAATGGGCTCAAGCATGATCCCCTGCCTTGGAGGTGGCCGCAGTGAGCCCAGTAAGGGAATCTGAAGGAAGAGTCCTGCTCCAGGTTCATGGGCACCGGGTTCTCGGGAGCACCCCCATAGGAACCCATAGGTTACTTAGAGGAGGAAGGACAAAAGGAGGTGGACTCCTGGCAGGCTGGTGAGGGCAGGGAAGCCCTGCTAACACCTCTCTACAAGGCCAAGAGCTCTGATGCTGATGCTCTGGCTGTGGCCCCAGTTCCCCTTCCCACCTGTCAGGTCTAGTGAGGAGGTGGGCTGGGGCCCGAGGACTCAAAGACTTACCAGTGACATCAGTGAAAGCAGGGAAGGTCTCCGAGCCATGGAAGGATGTGTCCCCAGCCGGCCTCTAGAGGGTGAATCTGGCAGAGAACACAAGAAACTTGGAACAGGTTGGCCCCTGCTACCCTCTCCAGCCTTTGTCTCCTCATAGGCCTACCTTCTACCCCTCCCCCACCCCGGGCCAAACTACAGGGGTTCCAAGACCTGCTGTGCTGTCACTGGCCCTCCATCCGGCATGCCTTTTGTGTACAGCCTTTCCTGTGCATCCCCCATGCAGCCTCCTGTTGTCGGGTATATGACCTTGGGCTGCAATGGTTCACTATATTGTGTCTAAGGCGGGAGCTGCACTCCTCATGGGGTCCCTGGCACCCAGCTCAGGACCTGGCACACGGGTGGTACAGGTTTGGTAGTCTTTGAGGTCTGTGGGACAAAGCACTGGAGAGGTGGGCATCCTTACACCCTCTCTTAGTGTCTCTACCTGTGAAGTGGAATCGTCAGCTATCTAACTTCCGGGGTTGTTAGGAGGGTGGAGTGAAGTCACCTGTGTAAGGCTCCATCGCAGGTATGCTCTCCTGTGAGCAGACAGAGATGAAGATTCAAGTGCAAGTCGTCTCTTTGGGAGGTGATCCTAGCACTTGCTGGCGGCCTCCACCTGCAGGAGATGCTTGGTTCTCAGTGGAAGCAGTTCTGCCCCCTTGGGTGGTCTTTGGAAATGGACCAAGGGCGCATTTTTGTTGTTACTGTACCTGGGGATGCTGCTTGCAGTTAGCAGTCGGCGGCCAGAGATTCTACTGACATCCTGCAATGCCCAGAACCGCCCTCCAACATTGGAAAATCATCTGCCCCAAATGTCAACAGTGCCCTGAATAACAAGACATGTTGGTATTTAACCAAGTTTTATATGATGCTGGATGATGTCTGCAGAAGGAACAGTCTGAACTGGCAGAGATGAGCCTCAGAACTGAGGTGGAGGATGGGCATGGGAGTATGACACTGCAGACACACTGGCGCCAGCCGGACAGAGAGAAGGGCAAGGGAAGTAGGAACCTTCGAGGAGCCTGGCAGTGGGGGTGATGCTGTGTCCTGGGGGAAAGAGCTAAGTGGGGCTGCTGAGTGCCTTGGCCCTGGCCAGCCTTCCTGTAGGCTGTGAAGCATTTATGGGCAAGGTGGGGGTGCTGCCAAGCCCTGCCCACTACCCAGAGCTTGCTCAGCTGCCCTGGAGCTCAGGTCAGCTGGCAGACTCTTGGGCTGCCCTCTCTCAGGGACCAGGATTCCCTCCTTCCTTCCCAGTAACGGACAGTCTTCTCCCCCACGTAAAATTGCACTGGTTCTTCAGCCCACGGTTCTTAGAAATCAGGCAAATTCATTAAAAGAAATTTTAAATAAATTACCGGAAAACACTCCCATCCCAGTTCCCTCCCTGCTTCCACAAGCCTGGCGTACCAGGGCTGACCTCTGGGGCTTCTGGTGGTTCCCTGAGAGCAAGGAATAGAAGGCAGACTTCCCCGGCCCGCCTGAGGCCTGGTGGATGGGTCCAGAGCCCCATCGAACGGCTGGCAGTTGGTGCTTCCATGTTGGTAATGCCCTTTTTTTCTCTCTTGTTAGGCCTGCTCCCTTCAAAAGTTCTGTGCCAACAGAGAGGTTCCCGTCCATACCCAGGACCGTGGGATGGAGAGGTGGAGACCGAGTACTGAGGCCGGGAAGGCATCTGTCCCCCTCCCCAAAGGGAGAAGGCGGGCATGTTCGGAGACCTCTCCCGCCTGCAGCACTGCACACACGGCCTTGCCTTGGCTTTCAGCCTTCCGCATTGCGATGGATGTTTACAGGAACCCAGCCAGAGTATGCCTCCCTGCTCTTTATCCCCGACTGCACCTGCTGCCCACACTTAACTTTCAAGAGGACACTTCAAACCGCGGACACACACACACAGAAGCAACAGGCAACTCTGGCTGATGCCCGTGGAGCCCTGAGCCCGACTGGGTTTGGCTCAGGCTGATCTCAGCGGCAGTGACTGTTTCAGGGAATGACTCTGAAGGAGAAGAGACAGGGACAGTGTCGGGGCTGAGGGCATGGCTTTGACTTATTCATTTGAAGTTGCTTCTTCATCAAGTTGCCAAAACTGATCCATCACTCCTGGTGGGGCCATGTTGCTCCTCTGGCCAGAATTATTTTTAAACAATGTGAGTGGTTTGAATACTGGACTTCGATAAACCTGTAAAAGCAATACTTAGGAGGCTGACTTCTTTCAATTAAAAAAATGTATGCAACTTCAATCCTTGCAGACCTTCCTTTTGTTTGTTTTTTCTTTGAGATTTGGGAAAGGAATTCATAAGCAGAAAACTTCATATTTGACAAAGGGCAAGAGAGTTCGGGCCTCCCAAGTTGGAGATCCAGCCAGGTGTGGCATCTGCCCAAACTGGGCTGGCATGGGAGCCCATCCAGACCAGCCCCCTCCCTGTTTCCACAGCCTGGCATACCAGGGCTGACCTTTGGGGTGTAGTGGCACAAGCTGGAAATTGGGCCCAAATCCCCAAGCATCAGGTGTGGTATTCGCTGGGCACGCAGAGAAGAAAAGGGAGAAACGAGTGAAATGGTGCCCACTTGCCTCCAGATTCCTGAAAACAAGTAACATCATTCTCTCCAGTTGGCAGAGCACCTGCTGCTTTTCAAAGCACCTTCACCTGTGCCCCCTATTAAACAGCTACAGTTGATAGCTCCCTTTTACAGGGGAGCAGACTGAGGTGTGGGGGGCAAAGGGTCCGGCAGGACTGGGGGCAGGCCCAGCCTTGCCACGTGCCTGCCTCCAGAGTCCCCCAGTCCCCTCAGCCCCACAGCCACGTGGGACTGGCTCGAAGCCAGCAGAAAGGACGGCTGTAGCACCACTTATCTTCATGTGATTCTAAGAAAGGCTTGCTAAGGAACGTGCACAGAATACTTGGGAAGGCCCAAGGTGAGCGTGAGAAAGGAGACATCGGGAGAGGCCTGGAGGGAAATGAGGGTTTTAAAGATGCAAGCACTTGAGGCCTGACCATTGTGGCTCAGTGGTTGAGCATCAACCTATGAACCAGACAGTCACAGTTCGATTCCCAGTCAGGGCACACAATGATTCTCATTCATGTTTCCATCTCTCCCTTTCCCTAACTCTCTAAAACCAATAAAAATATTTTTAAAAAATGCATGCACTTGAAATCCACTAAACATGAGATTGTGCCATCAACATATAGCGTGAGTTCAGACAGCACGTGCCCAGATTCCTGTGAGCACCACCTCCCCTCCGACAGGAGCACTCCAGTACGCTGTGCCCGTGGCCACCGAGAGACCCTCCAGAGAAGTCAGAAGGCAGTCTTGCATCTTGAGTGCCCCCTTTGCAAGGATGTGGCCTTAGGCAAGTATGTCTCCTGTGAAAGTCCCACTTGCTAAGCTGGTTTTGCATTAAAGGTGTCCCTCTGGGCTGAGATAGCTCCACACCAGGACTCACCGCCTGGCAAGCAGACTGGGTTGCAACCTCTATTTATCCCCATGTCCAACTATACCTGGCAGCCCTGCCCAGAAACGTTTACCATTTTACTAAAATGCAAGACTTACCAGAGCATCTTATTCACCACTGTGTACTCGGTACATATTGGTAGAATGAATAAAGCAAAGTTGTGGCAAGGCTTATTGGTTCATGCCACAAACGTTTATCGAGCACTTACTATGTGCTGGCACTTTGCTGGGGGCAAGAGGGCACAGCAATGAACAAAGCAGACAAATTGCCTGCCTTCCTGGAGCTCACATCCTAGGATAAGAGCAGACAGCACAACAAGTAAGTGTGGGAAAGATAAACTGGTGATGAGGTTGTAGAGTGTGTGAGGAGGGGGTGGGGGTAGGGGATGGGTGTGTGTGTGTGTGTCTGCTTAGTGGAGTGATCTGGTACACCTTCCTAGGGAGCTGTCCTTTAAACCTAGTCCTGAGGATGAGATGAAGCCGCCATGTGAACAACTAGAAATAACATTCCAGGCAAAGGCTGGAGTGAAACACATCCATACGTAACAAGGAGAACATACACGGATTGCACTGCATGCCACGCTCTTGCTCTCAGTGTGCTAGCTCACTGACTCTCCCATAACCACAAAATGAAGACAGTACTGTGGGAATTTTACACATGGGGAAACTGAGGCACAGTAGTAATGTGTACAGGTGGCGAGCTGGGCATTGAGTCCCAGCGGTCTACCTCTAGAATCCGTGCTGCTGATCCCAGGCGATGGTCCCTCCTGGTTAGGAAGGTGCCTGACACAGAATGAGAATCAATTCTAATATTTATGGAGCACTTGGTATGTCCCTCCCACTGTGCTAAGTGCTTTACATGTATCAACTCATTTAATAAAGGGTAGCTGTCATTTAAAATCATTACTACGAATAATTACAGCCTCTGACCTCATTTTGTTAGCTGAGAAGACCAAAAGCAGGGAGTACAGTAGTGCCCTCCCTGTCTGGCCAAGGGTGCAGGGTACTGGCTCGGTGCTCACCCCTGTATCTGCACCAATGGAAGTGTCTTGTGAACACCACAAAGTCCATAAATTCAGGGAAACCCGAGGGGCAGTGCTGAGCTATTTAAAGCCCAAACCCGGGCCAGGACACCTGACGCCCTCTGCAGCTTCGCCAAGGCGGAAGGCGCCATCTCTGCAAGGATTGAAGGAGTGCCAACCAGGCAGCTGGGTCTTAACCCCTTGTCCCCCACCCCACCCCCGACTCCCCAGACTCCCAGTTGCTGGGCAGAGACGGTTTTGGGCTCGGGTGTCAGGGCTGTGCACTAGAGCAGAACAGACAGCTCCCACTGCTGCCAGAGCCAATTCTCCCCAAACCAGGCTTCTGACCGAGCAGGCCATGCCCCAGTGACAACAATGACAGGCGAGCTGGCAGCTCTCTGGGTAAAAAGCAAAGCTGCCAAGGCCCTTCCTAGCTTGCCTTGGCCGAGGTGGAATCCAGCTGGGCTGGGAATGGCTCCCAGGATGCAGGGGGGGTCAAAGGGCAGAGGGAAGGCTCAAGGTGCTGCTCCCCTAATAATGAATTTTCCACTGAATCTTAGGACGCCACACAGAAAATCTTTTCTGAAGAGACAGGACTTGAGCCAAGGCAGACTTTGGTGTGTGGGGTGCTTGTGTGTGTGTGTGTGTGTGTGTGTGTACAGCATGCGTGTGTGTGCACGTGTGCACAATGTGGGAGGGGAAGAGAGTGACAGCCCTATCAGACTGCACAGAGAATGTGACAGAAGAGATGCGGTGTGACTGCTAAGGCTGGGTTATAAAAAGGATTCAACTTCTCTCTCTTCTCTCTCCTCTCTTTCCCTCTCTCCCCCTGACCCTCTTCCTTTTCGGGTGACCACCCTACAACCCAGCCACCTCGCTATGAGGAGACCCAAACTAGCCCCCATGGAGAGGGTCCTGCCGACCCTTCCTTAGAGGAACCTAGGTCCCCAGCCACCAGCCAACACCGAGTGAACGACCCTCCAGAAGATCCCTGCTGACACTGAGTCGGGCAGAGACGAGCCCTGCCCAGCGACAGGCGTGCGAGCAGAAAGAGTGTGTGTTGTTTTCAGCCACTACATTCCGGGGCGGTTTGTGATGCATTAGATCCGTGGGCACGTCAACAGGGGAATCATGCGATAAACTCAAACACTGGGCCTGGATGAGTTGTTTATAATGTAGTGAAGAGACACAAACGAAGGCAAAAAGGCAGGTCTGGCTCCAGTGGCCCCTGCCCCTCCATTAGTGTGCCATCCATAGTTTCCAGCTGAGGTCCAGTGCGTCTGGCCTGGCCTGGCCTGGGCCTTGGCCAACAAGTTTTGTGCAAACGGTGAGTCTACAGACAGAGAGCAGCTGCCTCAGAGTCTGTCACAGTTTGGATCCGGTTCCCTTCTGGTGCCCTCCAAGTGCCAAGCGTGCCCGGCTAGGTCAGCAGCCTGGAGCAGAGCTTTCTCCCCCGCCTGGCGGGGACGTGCGGAGGCAGAGCTGTGCTGCCTCAGTTCCTCTCTCTGGCCTGGCTACGACTTCTGGAGTGTCCCCTAGAAAACGTGCCAGGGCTCCTGGGTGGATGGCAGCTGCCACCAGGCACCCATCTGCTGTCTGTCAGGGCTGCAGCGGCTGTGTAGGGCTGGCATCAATCTGGGCCCCAAAGGAAGCCTGGAGCTGGGCCTGGGTCTGTCCAGGTAGCAGGCCATGGATCCTTTCCGTAGCCGGCAGGGTTGGATCCTGGACCCTGAGGCTCTTAGGATATGACCTGAGAAGAGCCGTGTCCACAGATAACCGGTTCAAGGTCCAGCATGGCCCGTGTCCTCGGAGAAGGGTCCATGGGAGGTCTGGAGAAGGGGTGGGTCAGGAAGCTTTAGGATACACGGAGGGAGTGTTGTTGAAATTGGGGAGAGAAGGGATGGTGGGAAGGGAGGACGAGACAGCGTTTGGAGGGGGACCTCACAGGTCCGAGGAGCAGGGAGGTGGGAGGGCAGTCACCTGCCAAGAGAGGCAAGAAACGCACGGAGCAAGTTCCGATCAGGACAATCCGAGATGTGGGGCCGCCAACAGGCTGACACAGCAACACACAGGGCCTGGGAGTCCCCAAAGGAACATTTCCCAGTGCTAACACTGTGGGGTGTGGATGGCCCCAGTCTCTAAGCCTGACCACAGGGAGGGTCCTCAGGCCTCAAGCTACAAAGCCTTTAGGACACCTCCACCGAGCCCAGCGCAGTGATGGGGAGGCCCAAGATGGTGTATGGTCCAGGGGCGGTTGCCCATATCCCACCTGCTGTCCTGTCCACTCTTTATGGGTTCTGCCTTCCCAGGTGCTGACCCCAGGGGCCCGGTGGTGCTCCCCTCACAAACCCTCCCCAATTACCTTGTCCCAGGCACAGTGGGGTCATCGCAGGCTGATCCGGGAGTCCAGCTGCTGCAGGTGTTCCTGGACACCAAAAGGGATAG